CACGAGTTATACGAATCCCGCAAGCTACGGTAGCGAAATGGCTATTGAAAATCGGTATCGCGCACTCAACTCATCGTCCGAGGCATCGTTCCTATCACGATCGATGATACGGTCGTTTGTTGCTCCGTTTCGCCTCGGGCCCCGCTCGATTTTCGCGTTCGGTTTTTTACCGATTTACCGGACCCGTCCGGGATTACTGCGTAACGCGGACATACCGTAACCGCGGCATACCGGAACCGCGGTATGTGGGTCACTGTCATGTGCCGACGGCGGCGTCCGGTCGGCGCGGTGCGGCGCGGCGGCGTCGCGGATCGACGACCGGCGGCGGAACGTGGCGATCGCGACGTACGGAATCGCCGCTGCCGCCGCCGAAGAGCTCGGCGGTGCAGAATCCACGAGAATCCGAAAGAAGTCGACGACACGGCGATCTGGAAGGAACTGGGGCCCGCGACGAAACGGTGCAGTGTCGATTCCTGCCGGTCCCAGCTCCTTCCTCCTCCTGCTGCGCTGCTGGCTGCTGCTGCTATTGCCGCCACCGCCGATCTGCGATCATCGCCGACGTCATCGTACGCGATCATCGCGACTGTGGCCGCTGACTCCGCTGACTCCGCCGCCGCCGCCGCCGCCGCCGCCGCCGTCGCCGCCGCCGCAGCCGCCGTCGCAGATGTATGACGTCATCGCCGGATGCTGTCATCGCGCTCGCGGCCTCTCCGAGAGATGAGATCTCGACGCGCGCGAGTCATCCCGAGGAGTTTGGTCCGGCTTCCGCGTCAGACATGTATAACACACATACACGTCTTTTCTACGCACAATTTTTTTCTAAATCTCTGACGATAAATTAATATGAAAGACATATAGCATAGTATAAAAATAATTACTCTATCAGTATAATTGAATGTAGAAACTTTGATTAGATTACTGTTTTGATTAATACTGAATGCAAAAAGTAGCTTCAAGATTTTTGCGAAATATTTTTATTTTTACATATAAGCGTCTTCTACAAGAAATAGTTATTTCGTTACTTTAGATTTGAAACTGAAATAATTGTTATCCGAAATAATTTTGAGTTTTACATTTTTAAGGTAATAAATGTAATAATTTCTAATTATAATAATCATAATAATATTAATAATAATAATAATAATAATAATAATAAAAGTACATAAAGGTATTAGGACTCGTCAACAATTCACTCATAGCGAAATAAAGCCTATGCAAGCCGACATGGCTGTTGAGGTGTAATAATTTTTTTACAATATGCGTGTGGCTGGATATTGTAAAAAAATTATTACACCCCAACAGCCATGTCGGCTCGCATAATAGGTTTACTTCACTAATGTGGAATAATAAATAAATTTAATCGTATTAATGACATCATGCTATTATTATGTAATCGCTGGATTTTTACGTGCCTTGCACAGCCGAAATATAATTTGAGATCTGAGACACGTATAAGCGCGATTCGGCACGACCATCCGGAGGTGGATTTCCTGGCGCTGGATCACCGCATTCTCCCGTCCGCCACAGATGGAAAAAGGACGTGGAAGAGGAATAAGTCTGACGCACCGCGACCTCCTCAAGGTAAATCCGTGTGCTACCTTCGCGTGCACGAGTTTGCTTTTTTGTTATTTACGCGATTTACGCAGTCAGTTAAAGGCGACGCGGGATGTCGTCGTTGCTGTTCGTCGAACACAGTCAACCACCTTCTATCGCAAAAGCTACTAGTTTCATTAATTAACTTCCAGTAATCTTGGACTTGAATAAAAAAATAAAAAATAAAAAAAAGAAACGGACGAGAGGGAAATCTCTCGAGTCTTAAAGTTGTGTGTTAAAGCTGGTTACGAAGTTGCTTTGAAAGCCAGCGAAGTTTGATTATTCGGCTCCTTTCTTCATAGTTAAAAATTAATCCGTCTATGGTTGTGGCTTAATCCATCTATCATTTATTTATCGGAGTGTTCGTGAAATCTTTAATCACGCGTGACGTTCGAATTTTCGGAAACTTTTTTTCAGAGTCTCTTTTTCAGGTCCCGAAGGATTAAAATTCGCACGTGCCGCTCACGTCAATGCCCCGCTGTTGAACGGGGACTCGGACGTGAATGAACGGCCAACTCGCATTCTGCGCGGCGGAATGTTCGCGAGTGAGGCCTCGATGTGGTACCGGCAAGGCCGTAATTCACACCGTTGACTAGGCGAGCTACACAAGCTGGGACTTGGCAAAATTATTTTTACAAGTCTTTAAATATCTCAGGTTCAATTGTAGTAATTCAACAATTAATTTGTATAGCTGAATTAATTCTGAGAAGATTCTACGGAATCACTCTCAATTGGAATAACGATCGCGTTTACGCGAGAAATCAATCCCCGTGGAAATAAATTTGTATTATAATGAAATTCAAATTGTTCGCTGATTTATCGAAGGTGCTTCGGGTGCGGATGAGTTCACGTCCGTCGCTGAAGTTATGCCGGCTCATCGTTACCGGTCTGCCGTATCGGGCCGAGCCGACCGACGTCACGGCGAGCGAAGGTATTCCGGACGTCGCCGTCGCAGGACCGTCGGTTAACCTGGCCCAGAAACCGAGCCGGAACTGCTGGTGGAATCAATGACCTTGGGCGCGCGAGCTCTACTCATGGTCACCGGCCCCAGGAGGAAAGTTTCAGCATCGAGAGCTTTCAACGACGATGATAATTTACGTCAATTATTCTAAGTCTTCTCTCTTTCTCTCTCTCTCTCTCTCTCTCTCTCTCTCTCTCTGTTTTTCTCTGTAATTTTATAATTAAGTAATATATTGTAATTAAATATTTATGGTTATATTACAGTCGAACCTCGATAACTCGAATTTCAAGAGACCAGCTATAAAAATCTTCATAATACAAAGGTTTCGCTTCACCAAAGTTTGAGTAAAAGAGAGTTAACATATGAAAATTCGACTTACGGAGGCTTTGTATGAGAGAATTTATACAGTCGAATCTCAATAACTCGAAAACCGACTCGAAAAACTTCGAATTTTTTTATTTTAAAACCCATTATAAATTATGAACTCTTGTACAAAGCTTTCATAATTTTCATATGTTATCTCTCTTTTACTCAAACTTTGATAAAGCGAAACCTTTGTAACTTGAAGATTTTTATAGCTGGTCTCTTGAAATTCGAGTTATCGAGGTTCGACTGTAATTTTCCGATTATAATGGCTTTTAGAGAAAAAAAATCAATATTTGATAATAAATTATTTATTGCATACATATAATAAATGTAATCATAAAACAAAATACCAGGCTATTACTCATGGTTACACATAGCTTCGAATTATAGAGGCACTTTAAATTCGAGTTGTAGAGGTAAAATAATACATCTAAATATCTGACAAATAATTCGAGTTAAGGTAGGTTCTATTTCGATTTATAGAGATTCTCCGCAGTGGAGCGGAAGGTAATGAACAAAATTTTCGTCTTATAGAGATTTTCGAATTGTAGAGGTTCGAGTTATCGAGGTTCGACTACTTCGTATTACTTAACATTTTTTATTTTACTACTGCTGCAGTCTTTACTTCCTGCTCTTCGCGCGACTTAAAAATAATAATGTATCTTAATAATGTATCAACAAAATTATATATCGCGATATTAAAATCGATTAAAAAAATAAGAATATTCAGATAATTGCGTTGAAAGGTGAATCTCGGTCGAGCTCAAAGAAAAGTTTGACTTGCGACTTGAGATTTGGAAGTCACGTTGCGTCGAAATGGCATCAGTTTTGTTCAAGAATGAAATTTGGTTTGCGCGCGCGTCGCCCCCGCGCCGCCGCGCGCCGTGAGCAAAGAATTCCGATCGCGTTGCAAATCGAAATCGGGAATTCCGTTTCCCCGTGCGCGTGGTAAGATATATAGTATGTACAAAGGCGAGATTCGGTTCTCGCGTGACATGAAATGAAATCACGTCGAGATCGCGCGTACGGTTGACGCACCGTGTCCGGTGCGCGAGTGACGTACGTACGTAACTCTCGCGCCGCAAGAATGCGAAATTTCCATCGCTATCCGCTACGAGATCGCGTTTAAAGATCCAGGCCAGTTCCGCCTCCTCCTCATCGAAACACATCGTCCCGCTCCGTAATTTCTCTCCTCGCGGTGTGTGAATTCCGCGCGCGAACGCTACTTTCCTAACGTCACCGATTTTAGATCGAGCAAAAGTCGCCTGATTATCGACAAACTGTCGATATACGTTTCTCGATAAACGAGAGACGCTACCGGACATCCATTCGAGAATCGTTAAATTTTTACGAGGAAAAATCGTCTTATGTCGAGTAAACTTGCAGTGGACAATTAAGAAATGGAGTAAAATCGGTTTAAATAATCGAGGATTAAAATAATTTTTGCAGCGAGAAATGATTCATTGCATTGATATCGAATCGACATCGATTTCGACAATTTTAATTGATAGACATTTTTCATTGAGTTATTGATTTTCAAAAATCATACAGAATTTTTCAGACTCATTATCAGTCGTTTAAAAGAAACAATTTTTAAAATTAAATTATTAATTATTTTTGGCAAGAATAAATAATTAACTTTATCAAGTTAAATTTATTTTGAACAAAACTTTAAATAAAGTTTAATAATATCTAAGTCTCGATTAATAATTTTAATAACGTTAATTAAAAATTCCTCGAAATTATCTTTAATATTACGCAACAAAAATATACACGAGGTAAAAATATATAACGTTAATTTTATATTTATAAGTATAATTAAATTTATATACGTATTTATGTAAATACAGAAAAGGCTTTTTTTTGCTGAACATTAAGCATTAAATGTCTCAGAAAAACAAAATAAAAATAATGCATTCATTAAAACTCCTCATTTCTTGATGAGCAATTAAAAAAGATTTTAATGTGATAAACAAAAATTATTTGCGCCATTTAAATTTTAAAATATTTAAATGTCCCGAGAACTTTAAATTTACTTCTCTCACCGATCCGCAGATGGCGCCCTATACAAGACACTTGATGCACATCGATGCGGATCACGTGGGCGGTGGGTCTTGTAAATACATTCGTGACATGTGCTCACGTGCTCCGATATTTTGACACATTGAACGTACTTGCTGCAATTGAATTCAATCATGATTAAAATTTGTGATGTCTGCGGAAAGGATGATGCAGTTTACAAATGCCCGACGTGCAGGAAACCTTAGTAAGTGTAACTGGTCGTACAGATTGTATCCTTTTGAGGTTATGTGCTTTTTGCGAGACAAATAAATGAAAATATTTCGAATAAAAGAACAATCCAAAAAAGGTGGTTTTTTGCCTGTTTTTTTTTGGATACTCGATTTTGGGACTGGACCGTGTGCCAAATGGTGTCTTGTAATAAGATATTAATTACAGAGAAGCTTCAGGTTGTGATGACAATTGTTATCAGCTGAAGGTGGGGTCACTTTATTACGTCTTTTTATGCGAAAACTCAATGTTTTTATATCCAAAACGAGTGTCATTTACGTAAAACTGCGATCAACCTTATCGGCTGGATCAACCTTCTTAAAATACCTCGCAGATCTGTGATAAATCCATAATGAACTTTGATTTCAACCCTCCCCCTTCTTTAATTATTGTTACCTCAATTTGGAACTTTATATATCATTTGGCACACAGTTTAGTCTCAAAATTGAGGGTCCAAAAAACGGGCGATTTTGTTCACTCTTTAACTTTTTTTTTTTAATTGTCATTTTGGCAATAATAGAAAATTTATGTTCTTTTATTGTGCGTCTGGTATATCGGCTATATTTCTTTATAATTAAATCATTAATTGGACGTTAATTTAGCGTTTCTTTTACTTTATTTCAGTTGCTCTGTGAGATGTTGTAAAGAGCACAAGACTCAACCTTGCAAGCCTCCAGTATTACCTGACGAGTCCGAGGAGCAAAGTGTCAGCACGTGGAAGTATAAGTTTCCAACGGAGGACACGGTGCCCATGGAGAAGCTACGGCAGTTGTGCGACAGCAAGGAACTGTTACAGTGCCTCCGGTCGTCCCAATTGCGCGACATTATGAAGACAGTTGTGTACAGTCCGAATCCCACCGAGGCGATTGCGCTTGCCATGAAGGAACCCGTATTCATAGAGATGGCCGATGCCTGTCTGAGGATCGTGGAACCACCGGACGATATTAAGCCGTGCTAAATAACTCACTTCTGTGACAAGTGAGTACTTGTCAGTGTGTACGTTATTGTTGCATCAAATAAGACTAGCTGTTATACGTTAAAGAAAGACGTTGTTTTTAATTACGATTTGTACATATATGTTTTACGAAAAATTGTATAAAAATGTCGAGATGGGAAAAATGCTGTTTTTTTTAAATTTAAATATTTATGTACACCACAAGAGTACGCAGAATATAAAAATTTACGTCAAATGGCGTGGATGTGAAGATATAAAGTTCTTTTCTTCTTACGAATGAATCTGCGAACGAGTTTTAGATGAATAAATGGAGCGTTTATATTTTCCTCATGGGCACAAGTGGTTTTATGATAGAATATACGTACATTAGATGAATAATTTTATGTTAAGTTATCGTTGTTATCTTTACGTATCGATGTACAAAACGAATAAAATGCAGTTTTGTCAAAAATTAAGATTTTTTGCGAGGCGGTTCTCGCGGTTCAATTTTATGTTCTTTTTTTTTTCAAAATTCAGTCAGAGTTCTAAGTGTTGAGAATAATAGGATGAAATGTAATCTTCGACGTCGTCCGGTGTCTGCGCGCCGTCCAATTCGACTGCGAGGGCATGATATCTCCTTCTGACGTGATGGGCTGCCATTTTCGGCTGTCTGTCTCTCGTAAAGATTCCCTTCTTATTGCCGCCCACTCTGGTGTACGCTGTAATGCGCAAATAATATTGGCGAATATTATTAATGAAAAGCGTTTTAAGTCGAATCTTTCGCGATATCAAGTTAATAATTGAATAATATCTCTCTTTTAAATTGAAAGATTGAAAAGATCTTTACAAATTGAAGTAATTAATTTAATTATCCATTGAAAGTGTCTTTTAATTAATTACACGAAGAAGCAGTGAAATGGATGCACAAACTTTATTGTAGTCCGTTAGCGCGAGTTTCTGCGATAATATCAGCACCAAATTGTTATGGAGTGATAAATATTATAATAATCAATTAGTGAAGAGATTTTATTCAATTTTACTCACTTTGCGCGGTGCGGAAATCGGCGAAGTTCCAGATGAATTCGCCGATAAAGAAGCCCTCGTGTCGCAATCGATCGAAGGCCTCGAAGTGTCTGGAGAATAATTCTTTCTGGTACTCTTCGCTCCATACGTATTCCGGTAGCTGCACAATTAATTTATGTAGAATGTGTGTAAATGGAAATGATTTTGTAATAAAACGTGTTGTAACGAAGTAAAAGTTTCTTGACAGAATTATTTTATATATTCCTATTATTTTATACATTTCACATTACCCACTTCATATTTCCTTGTATATTTTTATGTTATTTTTTAACTTTATTTCTATTTTCTACATTTTATTTTAATTACTATATATTTATATTTTTGTAATGCATTGAACAATAATGAGATTAATATGTATTAATTAATACATATGAGCGCGAGTGTGGCGTGACAGACAGCGCACTG